GCATTCAACTCTCACTCAACATAGGAGAATTCATACTGGAGAGAAGCCTTTCAAATGTAAAGAATGCGGTAAAGCTTTCACTCAACGTTCATTTCTCACTAGGCATGAGAGAATTCATACCGGAGAGGTCATTACTCACCATTTACAGTTTACTCAACATGAAAGTTTATAATGGAGAGAAACCTTAAAACTGAAGAATCTAAGAAACCCTGTAGCTGGACCTACAGCCTCACTCAATATCAGAGAATGCTTACTGCAGAGAAATCAACATTCAAAATCAACGATGAAAACCCTGTGTACAAAATACAAACTTCAGAAAATCTACAGAATTCATGCTCCAAAGTGACTTTAAAGATGTAAAATAATGTGAGAAAATATTTACTCGAAAATGAAATCTGAAATATCAAAGAATTGACATTACAAAGCAGCCAGTACAGAACAGTCTTCAGATATTACTTTAAATCAGAATACATATAGAGAATAAGCTAATGTTAAAAAACTTGTGAATATGTTTGAAAGTATCAAGGGGATGGATGTTGGAAATGTATAATTCTTTACAATGAGTGTTTATATATTGATACTACTTAAGGTTTGTTGAAAAGAAAATGTTAATCCCACTGTGAAGTCACTTGATGCAATGTTTTTTTACTCCGAGTGTGTGTGAATCACGGGTTGTTTGTTGCTGTCATCTGAGATCCCTTGTATGTTGGGTGGAATTCACTCAGAAATACTTTTCCCTGGAAGACTGAGGGCACTGTAATGCACATTGTATGATGAGAATCTAAATGGAGATGCTGTTTGGTTGACTTAGAATGTTGATGTAAGTCAGTGTGACGTAGGTGTTCAGGGCATCATTCTCTGCATTTATGTAAGACAAACATTCTGAATCTTCATTAGATTTACCAGTTGCTCTTTAAGGAAAATAAGGTGGTGGTTTTTGAAACCCTGATGTATCTTTGTAGTAGCCATAGATAGGAGTGCTGAATATTACCAGATGTGGTTGAAATAAAGAAGTCTTTGGAGATATCTGAGAAAGTACAGACAACTTATCCCTAAGTGCATAAATGATTGTACATCCATGTTTCCTAAACAGTGAGCCTCGGTCTTCAAACCCATGGAAAACAGAGCTCTAAGGTCATTATATCAGAACAACCAGAATGCTTCTTAAATGCTTGTTATCTATATTTTGTGCATGGATCTTACAGGTGGTTTGCCATGCTTTATTTAGACTCTGTGTGAACTTATATTTACATTAATAATAAAGCGAATGATTTTTAATGTATTAATACTGGTGTGTAATGAATGACTTGTTATCCTGCCACCAACGTTGACCTCTCCCACCTTAGTCACTGTTGTAATAAAAAAAGCACTATTTGGTGATGCATTGGAATGACAGCACTAGTGAGCCTTTTCCCTGTGGTTTTAATTCGCAAATGGAAAGAGAACCTTGCTGTCTAGAATGCCAAAGAAACACTATTTAAACTAAAGTAAAGGTTAGCAGACATGGGAGCTACATGTGGCTTGAAAAGTGCATGAAGCAGCCATTTCCTTCTGGTTAGATTCATATCATAATTCACTTTCCCCCAATGATAACAGGATAGATGATGAGTTCATCCATCTGCAATTTGTCCCATCAAAGCTGGTATTAGCTTCATCCAGTTGATTCAGGCTGTGTATCCCATTCCTCTATAATGTTTTCCTATTTCCACTAATAAGCATTTGGGAGTATCTACTGAATGTTGTGTATAAAGAACGATATTTACTCTAGAAACTCCTTTCATCTGAATTTGTCTTTCCTTGATTTTGCTTTAGAACATGAAGGCTCTGACCTTTGTTTATTACAGATACTGGTTTTACCCAAAGAGGTTCTAAGTCAGGCCTCAGGCCTGTAAGTTTCCCTTTTATTCCGAAGTCATGTCTCCCATACTTGTACTCTTTTTCATATCTTTATCGTGTTTTCAGAAGAAGAAAAACTAAGACTGATATAGTTAATAGATGTTCAAATGCCTCCAAAGTCTAACATATACCGTATTTCCCCATGTATAAGAGACACCCTTTTTCGAAACATTTGGGGGTCTCAAAACTGGGTGCGTCTTATACAGTGGTTGTACGAGCACAAAAACAAGCGCGAAAACGGGAAATGCAAGAAAAAATTTACAACCACTGTATAAGACGCACCCAGTTTTGAGACCCCAAATTTTTCGAAAAAGGGTGTGTCTTATACATGGGGAAATACGGTAACGACACAATGATAACTAAACATTTTTCAGTAACGTTCACATTCACAAATAGCTTTTATATGAGTTTACATCATTGGGCATGTTTTTCCCCATAGTATTTTTAAAACTCTCAAAAAACTTCATCCACAAGTAGATGCATAAGTTTATGCAATTGAAAATATTTCTTAATTTCGGTGACATTGAAATTTTCCCACTGTCGCTTTTGCCATGTACATAGTTACTTTTTAGAGATATGGCTATGTGCCTAAAATGTAACAGTTATTTGATCAATTCCATTTTGGACCTTCTTGTTTCCATTATTCTTCTCAGTTACAAAATCTGCTATGATAATTTGTTGATTTTCTCTGAATATTAACCTTGTATGTGTCTTTCTTGTAGATAAATTCTAGGTCAAAAAAGCTAGGTTAAAGCCCAGGTTCTAGTATTTACTGGATGATGAGACAAGTAAAGAGTTAACAGGAATGGGCTTATGAGCTGGCAAGAAGGCACAAACAGAGTTAACAGGAGTGAGCTTGTGAGCTGGCAGGAATGGGCTTAAAAGGAACCAGTTGGCTCTGAATCCCCTGGGTAGCACTGCAGCTGCAAGCTAACAAGCACCTTACATCCATCATAGGCGGGAACAGGACAATTCCCAGGAGAAGACAATTGTAACAGCAGTCTCCCTGTGTGCTAACAAGCACCCTCCACCCTCCACAGAAAAATATAAAACCCCAGCTGAACAGAAACCCGCTGCAGCTGTCTCCATCAGATTCTGCCCTGGCAAACTCCTTTTGCCAGTATTTCTCTTCCAAACTATCTACCTGACTTTCCACAATCCTTGCTTTTTTATTTCATATACTCATGAATTCCTTCACATTCTGTGAACGACCAGGGGTTAATTGTACACCATGTGTTGCCCGTTAGGGGTATACACCCTCAAAAATATATGCGGCTGTGTTGAAGTCTTAATTACATATATTTTTTCTATCTATAGCAGGTTTTTGTATCTATGTCATTAACTTTTTTACTTAGAAAAATATTGGAGAATATTACCATGTTGAAAGTACTGTAATTTTATATTTCAGAATTGAATTCATCTACCTCAAAACCACTTAACTCTTTTCATCGTTGGTCAAAATATGAACTGTGTCCATGACCACTTGGTACGTGTGTTATTTACTTGAGGGACCATTGATATTCAGGGATGTGGCCATAGAATTCCCCAGGAGGAGTGGGAAATCCTAGGCCTCAGTGGGATTTGTACCTGGTCTGATGTTGGAGAACTCCAGGAACCTGGTCTCCCTGTGTGAGGAGCACTTCCTTTCAGATGTCCTATCCCACCTGCTGGGCTCAGTTTCTTTTATGTGTAGAATGTCTCCTGGGAGTTTCTGCTCTGTATGACTCAATTTGTGAACCTCTTGAAAGGAAGTTACTTGGCTTTGTTGTCTTTAAATCTTGACGATGTTTCATCTTGACCATCACCTTCCTTCCCTTTTGTGGGGTGATCTGCATCCTCCACTTTACATTAGGGAGAATCATAGAAACTCAGTGACTTAATGTATTGTTGCCTACATCTTAAACCCTAATTTCCACCCCTTATGTTTGAGTCCATATTAGTACTTTGATGTGGAGTTCAGACTAAATTGAAAATGCTTTTAAGCATCATAAAGGGGCAATCAGGAAACTTGGGGGAAGTAATTTCCTATATGTGTCTATAATGTCCTCTCTTCTCTACTGAGCACAATACTGGGTGGAAATTACCTAGAGTTTCCAGCAAGAGTCAGGTTCGTTTGTCTAATAAACTGGTGTCGTTGTCTCAAATCCACACCTGGCCACATATTTGGAGCAAAGGAAAACGCCGTGAGAAGTGAAGATGAGGAGACATTAGCCTTTCACCCCATGCGAATGAAAGCAGATGACACAGGAGAGAGGGGCAAAGGTCAAAGAGGAAGCCCACCTTAAAGTGTGATTTGGGAAGATATGCTTCAAAGGCAATGATTTTGAGAAGCCCAGGACTCTTGCTGCTGTTGTCACACAGGAGCATATCCTGTCCCACTCTAATCCTGCTCCTGCATCTTCTAATGATGCTGCTTTTGCTGCCGAAAGCTAACAGCACATTTGAGTGAGAGCCAAAACCTCCCCACAGCCAGTGAGGGCCTGCATAGTCTCACTGTGTTTCCACTGCATTTATGCACGTCTGGAATTCCTACATGAAGGCCAACGTGTGCGTGTCCTCTTTCCAATCTTTGGGTGCCCCTGCGTGACAGAGATCCCTACAAATTTGCTACACTCTAGGAAATGTGGGTTACATTGACACTCCGCTACCAAACATAAGCAGAGCAGGCCTCCCCATGGAGGCTGCCCTATGTGCCACATTTTGTAACAAGGCTGTGAAATGTCCCTGGGGTCCTCCCAGTGTTTAACTCTGACCTCATGGTAGAATATCCTGGGCTACTCCATGAAGATACTATTGATGCTGGGCCCTGCCACAGGCTAACAGAGAATCTTTGGGGTGGACACAGGAGATGGTAGGTCTAAAACCACACAGGGCATGCTATCGGGAAGACAAGGCTGAGAACGACTTTGCTAACCATAGCTCATCAAACTTCCCTGCACTTAAAAAATCACTGCAGATGCCTTTCTGGGGCTCCACTCTCAGTCATTATACCTCCCCAGGTCTGAGGTGAGGCTGTTTAATTTGCGTTTTTAACCACCACTGAGGTTGCTCTCCCAAGGACCCATTTCCAGCAGCAAGAAGCCTGAGAAAGCAAGGTCCCCTGAGTGCCTTACACCCAACTCCATCTCAATGCAAATACTCTTTCACAGTGAAGGTCACATTCTCTGCTCACTGTGTGCTAGCTGAGAGGTCAGAACAGGCAGTGGTGTCTAAGGGTGTGTGTGTGGGGAAAGCATTCACTCGTTCATGGAAGCAGAGTTAATTGAGGATGACTTCCTCTGAGAGCTCCTAA